CACACACACACAAACACACACAGAGAGAGAGAGCTGTGGATGCAGAAATCAGCATCTGCAGTGCTGGATATCTGAAAATGTTTTCCAGCACAGAAGTGCACCACAAACAAATCCAACACACCAATATATCAACATTAATGCAATAAGATGCATTAAACTATAGATATTAAAAGAGCAAACAGAATTTTCTTGGTCTTTTGAAAAATATTCACTTTTCTGAGCTCAATAAGATATGGCTGCCTACATTTACATATCAACACCTTTTTAATATTCAGCAACCCATCCTGATGAACATTATGCATCATAACAAAGGTCATTTACATATTTAAAAAGCAACTTTTAGGCAAAACACCCCAGGTGAATAGGGTAAAAAAATTATCTAATAGATATCACCTTACTTCCCCAGTTGATTGATTGCATTAGGAATTGCAAACATTTTTTTTTTTTCCATTAGGTTTTCTGAAATGTCATATTTAAATATGGAAATGATGCATTAAATATGCACTAATTTGCATGTATTTCCAGAACATAAATCTGAAGATAAAATCATTGAGTTTCTCTTTTTATCAATCCATAATCCATCAGAAAATACTGTAATAAATAAAATCAGGTGAATGATATATGAACAAACCCCTCTATTAAAGTATATATTACATACTTATATTATATTATATATATAATATATATTATATACCCCTCTATAAAAGTATATATAGAGTATATATAGGAATAAAACTGTATGTAAATGCTGCTGGAGTGGAGAAACAAACTCATTTTGGGAAAACGACCTATGATATGTACTGTAATTGAAATCTACAGACGCAAGGCGCAATACAATTTTAAAGGTTTTCTTTCCACTAGTCTGAAGCAAGACATTTTAAAAAGCCAAATGCATGACCAGTGCATTAAAAAAAAATCTGTCTTGCCTTAAAACAGCTATCTGTTTATTTGCAAATATCAAAGAGGAAGTGGAAAATGGTCATTATGAGTAAAACAATGACATTTTTGGTGCAAGAAACCTTCACTAGCATTATGAGCGGACTTCAGGTAATTTCTATGAGGCACTGGAGCGTGAGTGTGCATCTCACCAGGAGGCTGTAGAAGTGTTTGATGAGAACCGAGACGACCCGCAGCAGTCTCATGCAGATGGGGAAGTAGGGTTTCTCCACGGGCGCCGGAGACGACGCGCTGCTACTGCTGCCCTGACGGAACTTGATGTTGGGCAGGAAACTGAACTCCTGATGCTACACAGGGACAGGGCGAAAGGTTAGAGGGCCATCGGAAGCTGGGAACGAGTCATTTCCTCTTGTTTATTTGCCATCCGTCTTTCAGGAATGTTCGTTTTCGTCGGGATGTGTGGGGATTACCTGCAGGAAAACTTCAGGAAAGTCGTTTAAAACCGATTCCAGCAGCTCGAGGCCGAACGTCCGGGTCATCTCGGTCATTCCCACCAACCAGTAGGGGGCGTCAGCGTTCACCAGCTGACACAAATCCTGCAGAACGGCACATTTATATGTACAGAAAGCTCAAAAAAATAGTCAATATTTACTTTCAACTTCATATGTGTATATATATATATATTAGGGCTAGGTTTTGACACAAATTTCACAATTTGATTTGATTCTCATTCACAAGCTTGCGATTCGATTCGATGTCGATTATTTTGGATATACAGTATATATCAGGTACAGTACATACCAAATTTTCTCAAGGAAAAAAAATCGCTCAACTAATGCTGTAAAATATACACGAGAGTCAGTTGGTACTACATTACTATAATATTGAAGGTTAAAATTGACTGATTTGTTAAAGTTACACTTAATGAAGTTTTTAAAATAATAAAGTTACAATTACATAATATTTCTACTTCAATTCATTTTTTTTTATATAAACATAATGGTGGCTGTCATAAAAACTTGATGGATTTATTCAAACAAATGAAACATTGAAGAACAGTAAAACTTATAATGAATATGTTATATGGTGCAGATATTTAGCAAAATGCCCCTCTCTACAGTTTATTTTTCTATCTGACTAACGAGTTTATGGTCACCGAATATGTTTTTGTAATATAAACATAATGGTGGCTGTCATAAAAACTTGATGGATTTATTCAAACAAATGAAACATTGAAGAACAGTAAAACTTATAATGAATATGTTATATGGTGCAGATATTTAGCAAAATGCCCCTCTCTACAGTTTATTTTTCTATCTGACTAACGAGTTTATGGTCACCGAATATGTTTTTCTGAGGTAAATGTGATGTTAGGTGACATTGTTTACAAGCCGTTATATTGATGTCTTTGCGCTGCTGAAACACTGATTGACATGAGACAGGATACGGCACAATTTGAAATCTGAGACTATGTTTCATATTTTCATATTAAAGCACCAAAGCACAATACTTATTGCGTTATATTGGATGGGAAGTGCCCTTCAATGTTCCGTCCATTAACTATGTATTCGTTTATCACTTAAATTCTGTTTATTTGTGTTCAATGCATGAATAATACAATTTATACAATCATTTGTGTGTACTTTATATATATATATATATATATAAATATATATATATATATTAAATATTCATTTATATATTCAAAACTGCATTCATTTATATTAAAATATAATTATAATATCATTATATTAAAGGGGTCATGAACTGAGAAATTGAAATTCCCTTGATCTATTGACATATAAGAGGTCGTTGTACTATAAAATCATCCTGTAAGATTCTGAACTCAAAACTTTCTCGTTACTTTAAAAACAGCTTATACTGAAGCCAATCTGCCAAAACGACAGCTTGTGGAATGTGCCAATTTATGACGTAATAGTGTGGCTAAACCCCGCCGTTAGCCCCGCCCACCGATTCTACACCACTGCCTGTTTAGCCCCGCCTACCGATTCTACAGCACTGCCTGTTTAGCCCCGCCCACCGATTCTATAGCAGTGCCTGTTTAACCCCGCCCACCGATTCTAGATCACTGTCTGTTTAGCCCCGCCCACCGATTTGCGCATGTAGTGTAAATAACGAGAGGCAAACGCAGGGCTACACAGAAACCAAACGATAAAGATGCTCCAAAGACAACAAGACGCTTTGCAGTGATAAGCTGTGGAAAAACACAGTCTTTGCATCGCCTTCCTTCTGATCCCAACATTAGGAAAGATTTTTTTAATTCAAATTTTAGAATTAATATTCATTTGATATTATTTAATTTCTATTAATATATTAATTACAATATTTCATGTTAAAGTTATTGCCAACAATCTACAGTCAAACAAACTTATAAAACATGTTACTTGTGAAAGATGTTTTTATGGTTATTACAAATAAATGTATTTATTGAACACTGATATTTTTTTATCATACAGCTGTTATCACCATTTTATAAAAGCAGTAAGCTACATACATTTTATATGAATAATTATTATGCACTTTATATTATTTATTTTATATTAATTAATGAATATTAATTATTATATATCATTACATCAAAAGTTGCCAACAACCTACAGTCAAACTTGTAAATTATTATTACAAACTTATGAACTATGTTACTTGTGAAAGACGTTTTTATGGTTATTATTATTTATTGTACATTGTTTTTTTTAATCATAGAGCTCTTTTCACCATTTTATAAAAACAATAATCTATATTAATTAATTATCAATTTATATGGTTTATTTTATATTAATTAATGAACATTAATGTATTAATTATAATTAGTGCTGTCAAACAATTAATTGAGATTAATCGCATCCAAAATAAGTTTGTTCACATAATGTGTGTACTGTGTATATTTATTAAGTATATATAAATACAAACACACGCATGTACATATTTAAGAAAAATATGTTTATATATTAAATATAAATTATATGAATATAAATATATACATGTACATACATGTATATATTTTCAATATATATACTGTATGTGTGTGCTTTTATATATACATAATAAATATACACAGCACACACACATATATTATGTGAACAAAACCATTTATTTTGGATGCGATTAATCGTTTGACAGCACTAATTATAATATATCATTACATTAAAAGTTGCCAACAACCTACAGTCAATCTTATAAACTATATTACTTAAGAAATAACTTTTTATTATAGTTATTATTATTACCAAGCAAATGCAATTATTTATTTAACATGTTGATTGTTGATTTTATTTATTTATTTATTTAGTCATTTAGCAGACTTGATTGAGTTGATTGATTTTTTATTTAAATTGTACAGCTGTGGTCACCGTTCATGCTTAAAGGGTTTTTAGCAACTCAACTACGGTAAAATCACTGTATAGTATAGTATATATTTATTTAATGCCATGTCAGCATCAAAGGCTATTTTCATGGCACAAACAATTAAAAAAATACAAGTATAACAAATACAATAAAAACCAGCAAACAAACAAACACAAGTTATATCACACAAGATTTTTTACATTAACGTGATAAAAATTCGAAAACTTTGTAAAATCACTGTAAGACATATCTTAGATTTTTAGCTTGAATGATCGACTGCGATAGAAAGAATTTGGGAGTAACGCATTACAAGTAACGCAAGTTACGTAATCAGATTGAGTAACGCAATATCGTAATGCATTACTTTTAAAAGTAACTTTCCCGAACACTGGAAAGAAGAGTTCACCTGGAACAGCATGTAGGCGTCTTTAGCGCTGGGTCTCAGGGAGCTGACGGAGCGCCGGTTACTGTTGCCCTGGACAGCAGGAGGCTCTTCTGTCAGACCTGCGGCGAGCGGATAGAACATAAATAAAGCAGCAGACGGCAGGGGTCTGGATTCAAGAGGACATGCCACACAGAAGGTCTCCTCCACCTTTGAATTTCTCGTCCTCTGCCACCATCCTCTCGAACACCACGGTCACGACCTGTCTGACGGTGGCGGCCGCCGTGTTGTTGGTGATGTTGTCTTTAGTGAAGTGCAAGCGGAAACACAGAACGATGGCCTGAGATGAAGCACAAAAGCAACAGGATGACGATTGTGAGGGGTTTTGGTTACTCTATTTGAATAAAATACTGTAGATTTGTGACCCTGGAGCACAAAACCAGTCATAAGGGTAGAAGTAGTATATTTTTATTTAATGCCATGTCAGCATCTTAGGCTATTTTCATGGCAAAAACAATAAAAAAAAATACAAGTATAACAAATACAATAAAAACCAGCAAACAAACAAACACAAGTTATATCACACAAGATTTTTTACATTAACGTGATAAAAATTCGAAAACTTTGTAAAATCACTGTAAGACATATCTTAGATTTTTAGCTTGAATGATCGACTGCGATAGAAAGAATTTGGGAGTAACGCATTACAAGTAACGCAAGTTACGTAATCAGATTACAATGTACAAATTATGAAAAAAAAAATTGGAATTCTGAAATAAAAAGTCACAATTACAGATTTTTTTTATTTGATAAATACAGAAAAGTCTTCCATTAAAATTATATTTTTATTATATTAAATATTATATATTCAAAAATATAATCAAAACACTGATATTGGCTACAGATATAGATAAGAATTTGTTATAATTTATTAAAAAGTTACAAATTATGAAAAATAAAATTAAAATTGGAATTCTTGATTAAAAAGTCACAATTACAGATTTTTTCAAATATACCCCAGCGACTTAAGACTGCTTTTGTGCTGCAGGGTCACATTTATGTCCTTAAAAAACAAAATTCAACTGTGTAGAAGGATCAAAGGTATTTGTTTGTGCAGGACTTTCCTTCTGACATTCATTTACAGGGCTCTACATAGAATTAAACAGGCTACTTCAATATGTAAATCAGGATTTCCACAGCTTTTGAATTTCTATATTTTTCCATGACCTTTCCCATCATTTCAGATTAATGGACAGGGATTTTTAAAATCATTTTAAGAGATAAAACATATAAGCATCATTATAAAGCGGAGAGTTCCGGTGCTTGATTCTGATTGGCTGAGCCGCGTTCGAAGCTGTTGTAAATTACTCTACAAACACACACCTTTGTTTACGTCTGTGTGTTGCTCGGCAACCACTTTGTAGCAACCACAACTGTTTCTGAGGAGCTACATTGTTTGGTGGAAGAATACTGTTTTTATTAATATCATTACACTTTATTTGCTCTGTTTTATTTTGTGAAACCTTACTACGTATATGGAATAACCATTTTATAAAAGCAATAAGCCCCGTGAAGCCATGGTTTACAGTGAATTTATAACAGCTTCGCATCGTGCCTAACAACGCCCCTTAGCTGTTATAAATTCACTGTAAACCACGGCTTCTTGGGGCTTATTGCTTTAACTTATTTCAAATTTTAAAAAATTTAGAGCTGAGAATACTATAAATATTTATATTCGCTATATAAACGTTGCTATATGATTTTGTAAGATTTTTATTCATTTCCATGATTTTTCCAAACCTGGAAATCACATTTTTTAACATTATCCATGACTGTGGTAAATGTCGTATAATCCAACATTGAAATTTTAGTGGATAATTATTTTTTAAAGTTAATAAAAAAACAACAACTGATAAATAGCTGATGTTTTGTTGTACTTTGTAAAGAAAAAATTAAATACAGTAAAAAAGCTTAATTGTTTATATTCAACAATATGCTACAATAATATGAAAACAATAAATGCATTTTTGAAAGGAACATTAAATAGAGCTGTTTTACTTTTCAATAAATAAAAATAAATAAAATGAAATAAAACAGTTAATTGTGAGAGAATGTTTAAATTAAGAAAATAGCTGTTATATTATAAAGTTACAAATTCTAAAACTTTTTGAGATAAAAATATAACAATTACAGATGTTCTTTTGATAAATTTCTTTCTTTCTTTTTCTTATATAATCAAAACACTGATATTGGCTATATATATATATATTGTTATAATTTATTAAAAAGTTACAAATTATGAAAAATAAAATTAAAATTGGAATTCTTGATTAAAAAGTCACAATTACAGATTTTTTTCTTTTCTTTTCTTTTTCTTTTTTTTTACTTGAAAACAGGCTCGGAAACATCAATAAAAAATTAGTATTACATATTTTTCTATTATATTAAATATCATATTATAAAAATGTATAATTATAATCAAAACCCTGATATCGACTGACAACCAAAAAAATATGCCACAACAAAAAATACATCATTTCCTCTTGATTTATGAACAAATATTACATGTTTTCATGAGATTCTTGAAAACAAATCTTGTTTTCCACAAAACGAGCCCTTTATAACCAGCCGCTGAGTGTGTGATGGCTCAGTTTAACCGCGTGCCGTACCTTGGACAGAACTTCATCGTGTACGATGGTGTTAGTGGTGAGCAGCACCAGAACCGTCTGCAGCAGTTTGAGCTCCTCCAGTCCGTTCTCCATCAGCTGCCACAGCATGTTAATGATGTTCCCAGCCGCCGCCTGCAAGCACACTCATTAACTCATCTAAACGAGCCATTGATCCGTCGATCTCACCGCCGAGACTCTAATGTCATTGCTGTGACAGAGCAGCATGTTCATAACCCTCATAATAAGTACAGTGACGGTCTCAGCTGGGGCTCTGATACACAGAACGCTCTATATTGTTGATTTATGTGCTAATGCTTTAACTGGATACACAGCTGAGCTTCCTGGTTGAATTGCTTAGGTGTGTGTGTGTGTGTGTGTGTGCGTGCGTGTGAGAGTGTCTGTTTGTGTGTGTGTGTGTGTGAGAGTGTTTGTTTGTGTGTGTCTGTTTGGTGTGTGTGTGTGTGTGTGTGCGAGTGTGTGAGTGTGTGTGCGTGTGTGTGAGTGTTTGTGTGTGCGAGTGCGTGTTTGTGTGTGCGAGTGTGTGTGTGTGTATGTGTGTGTGTGAGCGTGCGTACGTTCGAGTGTGTGTGTATGTTGTCTGTGCAAGCGTGAGTTTGCATGCGTGTGTGTTTGTGTGTTCTCTGACCTCGGACACGACCTCATGTGACATGAGTCTCTGAATGGCGGCGAGACACAGCTGGGTGATTTTGGGTTCTTTGGTTCCGCAGCCCATGAGGAACGGCTGGACCACCTCTGAACTGTTCTCCTTCAGCGCTGATGGCAAATCAACACAATAGAGTTTATGGGTCATACTTATAACACACACTACCTCAGCATCACGCGCTCTTACCTGCCAGGATGTCCGTGTTTCTAGCAGCGATGGTTTTGATCTTGACGATGCCAGACTCTGCGGCCTAAAGACAGACAACAAACTCACGTGAAAATCTTTGTAGGAAAATATGGAAAGAAATTTGACGTTCAAAAAAAGAAAAAGACATTCAAATGTGTTATGGCCAATAAACGATAAATGTCCTATGTTACAAATACTTTATAAAGTTTAAATAAAGTTTAAAATAAGAAATAAAAGTTACATTGTGAGAAATAAAAAATCTTAAGTTCACAAAATTAAACAGGCTTGGAAACAGCCTTCTATAAAATTAAATATTATACATATTTTTTTAAATATTATTAAAACACTGATATTGGCTGATAACCATTATGGTGCTGATATACTGGTAACTAAATAAACTAAAACTTAATATAAATAGACTATATAAACATATTAAAGGGGAGTTCTAATGCTATTTCATGCATTCTGGCATGTGCAAAGTTTAAAACAGATCAAGTAGACCGACAACCAATATTTTGAACCGATATGTATGTCTGGTGTAAAAATGAAAATGAAGGTCAAAATTAAGAACAACAAGGGCTCTGACAAAAATGTTCTTTAAATGCTTTTAAATTATTTTATCGGCAAATCGGTTTTCAAAGTGACCGATACCGATACCGATAACCATAAAAAAAGCTTAATATCGTCACCAATAATCGGTTGATCCCTATGCAATACTACTCTATAGGTACTCAAGATTAACATGAGATTAGCAGTGTTTGTGTTTGTGTGAGTTTGTGTGGGTGTGTTCATGTGCGTGTGTGCGGCGTGTGTGCGTTTATGCTTGTGTGTGTGTGTCTGTGCGTGTCTGTGTGCGTTTGTGTCTGTGTGTGTGAGTGTTTGTGTGTGCGAGTGCGTGTTTGTGTGTGCGAGTGTGTGTGTGTGTATGTGTGTGTGTGAGCGTGCGTACGTTCGAGTGTGTGTGTATGTTGTCTGTGCAAGCGTGAGTTTGCATGCGTGTGTGTTTGTGTGTTCTCTGACCTCGGACACGACCTCATGTGACATGAGTCTCTGAATGGCGGCGAGACACAGCTGGGTGATTTTGGGTTCTTTGGTTCCGCAGCCCATGAGGAACGGCTGGACCACCTCTGAACTGTTCTCCTTCAGCGCTGATGTTAAATCAACACAATAGAGTTTATGGGTCATACTTATAACACACACTACCTCAGCATCACGCGCTCTTACCTGCCAGGATGTCCGTGTTTCTAGCAGCGATGGTTTTGATCTTGACGATGCCAGACTCTGCGGCCTAAAGACAGACAACAAACTCACGTGAAAATCTTTGTAGGAAAATATGGAAAGAAATTTGACGTTCAAAAAAAGAAAAAGACATTCAAATGTGTTATGGCCAATAAACGATAAATGTCCTATGTTACAAATACTTTATAAAGTTTAAATAAAGTTTAAAATAAGAAATAAAAGTTACATTGTGAGAAATAAAAAATCTTAAGTTCACAAAATTAAACAGGCTTGGAAACAGCCTTCTATAAAATTAAATATTATACATATTTTTTTAAATATTATTAAAACACTGATATTGGCTGATAACCATTATGGTGCTGATATACTGGTAACTAAATAAACTAAAACTTAATATAAATAGACTATATAAACATATTAAAGGGGAGTTCTAATGCTATTTCATGCATTCTGGCATGTGCAAAGTTTAAAACAGATCAAGTAGACCGACAACCAATATTTTGAACCGATATGTATGTCTGGTGTAAAAATGAAAATGAAGGTCAAAATTAAGAACAACAAGGGCTCTGACAAAAATGTTCTTTAAATGCTTTTAAATTATTTTATCGGCAAATCGGTTTTCAAAGTGACCGATACCGATACCGATAACCATAAAAAAAGCTTAATATCGTCACCAATAATCGGTTGATCCCTATGCAATACTACTCTATAGGTACTCAAGATTAACATGAGATTAGCAGAAACTGTGTGTGTTATATCTGCTTAAAAAAAAAAAATAATAATAACAATGACAAACACACAGCAAACTTAATAAGAATTTGACAAATTAATATTTACAAAAATAAAATCTTAAATTAAAAATATTAACAACTGTAATTGTATATTAATGATAATAAAATAACAAAAAAATAAATGTTATTACATGAAATAATACAAATATTATTAAAATCGAATTAAAACACTGATATTGGATGATAACCGTTATGGTGCCGATATACTAGCAACTAAATAAACTAAAAACAAAACAAAACTATATAGTCATATTAAAAAATATATAAAATAAAAATGACAAAAAGACAACAAAATTACTAAAACTTTAACTAAAATTGAAATGAAAATAGAATAAACTATAATAGTACATCAACGATACAAATTAATTAATAGTATATCAATGATATTAAAATAACAAAAAATAATTGTTATTAAAACACTGATTTTGATTGATAACCGCTATGGTGCCGATATATCCCCAATAAAAGTACAAAAAAAAAAAAGTATTAATTTTCCCTTCAGACATATTTTCTGCAACTCATAAATTACTTTTCTACTTTTCATGATTTATTTAAATCCAGACGAATAAAATCAAGTCCTACATTAAAACCTGGATATTTAGTTTAATTCAGAAATGTCACATTACAGAAGTAAAACATGCTGTGGATGCAGTTTCACGTTGCCTTCAAACCAAAAGCGTTTCAGAAGTCAAACTCAAACACGCTTTTGGACGTGGACTCTAACCTCGGACGAACAAAGAAAGAAAACGACTCTAAAAACCCTTCGATGAAACTGTTAGAGTGTACAGAATGGTGGTGTGTAAGTGCCGAGCAGTGCTGCCACTGAGATTCACAGGCCACAATGACTCTTTTCTCTCATAACAGCAGGGAAAGCCTTCAGAAAACACGCACAAACACACTGCGCTATCTGTTCGGCTGGATGACTCCAGCTCTCCTCGTCCTCTCTAGACTCCTCACGCACTCCGCAGAGATCCATGGGCTGTTAAGGACAGCGAGATGCTCGAGTAAAACACACACACAGCTGTCTGTCCTCTCCGGAGGGTTTGACAGATCTGTGTCCTGAACTGATGAGGTGAAGTGTATGATGATTTCTCAGCTCGGGTGAGAAAAGCAGCGTCTGATCTCTCATCTGAACGCTCTGATTTCAGCCTGTTGTTTTCCAGTTTATCTGCCATCAACTACAGGAATGATTTTATCTAAACTGTGTGTGTGTGTGTGTGTGTGTGTGTGCGAGTGTGTGAGTGTGTGTGCGTGTGTGTGAGTGTTTGTGTGTGCGAGTGCGTGTTTGTGTGTGCGAGTGTGTGTGTGTGTATGTGTGTGTGTGAGCGTGCGTACGTTCGAGTGTGTGTGTATGTTGTCTGTGCAAGCGTGAGTTTGCATGCGTGTGTGTTTGTGTGTTCTCTGACCTCGGACACGACCTCATGTGACATGAGTCTCTGAATGGCGGCGAGACACAGCTGGGTGATTTTGGGTTCTTTGGTTCCGCAGCCCATGAGGAACGGCTGGACCACCTCTGAACTGTTCTCCTTCAGCGCTGATGGCAAATCAACACAATAGAGTTTATGGGTCATACTTATAACACACACTACCTCAGCATCACGCGCTCTTACCTGCCAGGATGTCCGTGTTTCTAGCAGCGATGGTTTTGATCTTGACGATGCCAGACTCTGCGGCCTAAAGACAGACAACAAACTCACGTGAAAATCTTTGTAGGAAAATATGGAAAGAAATTTGACGTTCAAAAAAAGAAAAAGACATTCAAATGTGTTATGGCCAATAAACGATAAATGTCCTATGTTACAAATACTTTATAAAGTTTAAATAAAGTTTAAAATAAGAAATAAAAGTTACATTGTGAGAAATAAAAAATCTTAAGTTCACAAAATTAAACAGGCTTGGAAACAGCCTTCTATAAAATTAAATATTATACATATTTTTTTAAATATTATTAAAACACTGATATTGGCTGATAACCATTATGGTGCTGATATACTGGTAACTAAATAAACTAAAACTTAATATAAATAGACTATATAAACATATTAAAGGGGAGTTCTAATGCTATTTCATGCATTCTGGCATGTGCAAAGTTTAAAACAGATCAAGTAGACCGACAACCAATATTTTGAACCGATATGTATGTCTGGTGTAAAAATGAAAATGAAGGTCAAAATTAAGAACAACAAGGGCTCTGACAAAAATGTTCTTTAAATGCTTTTAAATTATTTTATCGGCAAATCGGTTTTCAAAGTGACCGATACCGATACCGATAACCATAAAAAAAGCTTAATATCGTCACCAATAATCGGTTGATCCCTATGCAATACTACTCTATAGGTACTCAAGATTAACATGAGATTAGCAGAAACTGTGTGTGTTATATCTGCTTAAAAAAAAAAAATAATAATAACAATGACAAACACACAGCAAACTTAATAAGAATTTGACAAATTAATATTTACAAAAATAAAATCTTAAATTAAAAATATTAACAACTGTAATTGTATATTAATGATAATAAAATAACAAAAAAATAAATGTTATTACATGAAATAATACAAATATTATTAAAATCGAATTAAAACACTGATATTGGATGATAACCGTTATGGTGCCGATATACTAGCAACTAAATAAACTAAAAACAAAACAAAACTATATAGTCATATTAAAAAATATATAAAATAAAAATGACAAAAAGACAACAAAATTACTAAAACTTTAACTAAAATTGAAATGAAAATAGAATAAACTATAATAGTACATCAACGATACAAATTAATTAATAGTATATCAATGATATTAAAATAACAAAAAATAATTGTTATTAAAACACTGATTTTGATTGATAACCGCTATGGTGCCGATATATCCCCAATAAAAGTACAAAAAAAAAAAAGTATTAATTTTCCCTTCAGACATATTTTCTGCAACTCATAAATTACTTTTCTACTTTTCATGATTTATTTAAATCCAGACGAATAAAATCAAGTCCTACATTAAAACCTGGATATTTAGTTTAATTCAGAAATGTCACATTACAGAAGTAAAACATGCTGTGGATGCAGTTTCACGTTGCCTTCAAACCAAAAGCGTTTCAGAAGTCAAACTCAAACACGCTTTTGGACGTGGACTCTAACCTCGGACGAACAAAGAAAGAAAACGACTCTAAAAACCCTTCGATGAAACTGTTAGAGTGTACAGAATGGTGGTGTGTAAGTGCCGAGCAGTGCTGCCACTGAGATTCACAGGCCACAATGACTCTTTTCTCTCATAACAGCAGGGAAAGCCTTCAGAAAACACGCACAAACACACTGCGCTATCTGTTCGGCTGGATGACTCCAGCTCTCCTCGTCCTCTCTAGACTCCTCACGCACTCCGCAGAGATCCATGGGCTGTTAAGGACAGCGAGATGCTCGAGTAAAACACACACACAGCTGTCTGTCCTCTCCGGAGGGTTTGACAGATCTGTGTCCTGAACTGATGAGGTGAAGTGTATGATGATTTCTCAGCTCGGGTGAGAAAAGCAGCGTCTGATCTCTCATCTGAACGCTCTGATTTCAGCCTGTTGTTTTCCAGTTTATCTGCCATCAACTACAGGAATGATTTTATCTAAACGCAAAAAAAAAACAAAAAAACATTTAAATGACCCTCAAAGAGCCCATATTCTATATTTTTGTAGTATTTATTTATTTTTTCCTGAAGTCCAATATTTTGTCAGAGCTTCTTGCAACAAAAATAGTCATAATTTCATTTTTCCTTGCCATTGCTTTGGCAACTAGCTGTTTAGATCGGGGTTATTATTTTTAACTAAAATTAAAACTTCAAATAAAACCCTAAAAAAAAAAATCATTACTTGGAAATTTTTTATATATATATATACAGTGGGTACGGAAAGTATTCAGACCCCCTTCAATTTTTCACTCTTTGTTATATTGCAGCCATTTGCTAAAATCATTTAAGTTAATTTTTTTTCCTCATTAATGTACACACAGCACCCCATATTGACAGAAAAACACAGAATTGTTGACATTTTTGCAGATTTATTAAAAAAGAAAAACTGAAATATCACATGGTCCTAAGTATTCAGACCCTTTGCTGTGACACTCATATATTTAACTCAGGTGCTGTCCATTTCTTCTGATCATCCTTGAGATGGTTCTACACCTTCATTTGAGTCCAGCTGTGTTTGATTATACTGATTGGACTTGATTAGGAAAGCCACACACCTGTCTATATAAGACCTTACAGCTCACAGTGCATGTCAGAGCAAATGAGAATCATGAGGTCAAAGGAACTGCCTGAAGAGCTCAGAGACAGAATTATATATATACTGTGTGTTTGTGTGTGTGTATATGTGTATGTGTGTGTATGTATGTGTATATATATATATATATATATATATAT